ACACCCCGCAGAGATCTCGGGAACTAAGAAATCTAGAAACACCCAATTTACAGGGTGTGTTGACCTGTACGTGAACTCACTTAGGTCAAAGTTTCAGGCTCCTAGGTCATCATTTCCGGGTCAAAAAAGGTCAAACAAGGTGAAGTTCCAGGTTGGTCTCAAAAGTGCCCACAGAACCTAGATAACCGTTTCTAAGCAAGAGGTCACATTCTCATTCAAGATAAGTGACCTTGTTTGACCTTTTGAGGGTCAAGGTGACTAAAATCATGCAAGATTGCTTTGAGTTTTGCATTTGACTGAGCGACAAGGATAACGCTAGGCAGTATGTTCCTAAAACAACATGTTGACCTAGGTCATTTTAAGTCAGTGACCTATTCTGACCTCTAAGAAGTCCATGGAAGATTTATAATGCGGTCCCTGCTATCAATAAACTCGAAATGAGCACCAGAAACTATCCCATATAGTAAACCCTAGAGTAATAAAACAGGTTGGTTTTGACCCTGGTGTGACCTCCATATCTGACATTAGGTCAGTGTAATTTGTTCATTCAACTGTTGTCTTGCCTATAAGGCATCTCAGATATGTATGGCCTCGTCTAACACTCCGTTGTTGGATCCGATTGAAGGATTCCTCAGAAATTGCCTTTGCTGAAACCACGGCCTGACTTTGACCTGACATAGATCAGCGACCTTACAAGGTACATATAAATGTTTGATGCCAAACGATCTGCTATTAAATTGTCTACAGCTATGCAAAGTATGGCGCGGCTACGCCGCGCCGTTCGGAAACCATTCAGGAAAAACCTTTCGGGGGTCAGTTTGACCCCCACCCGAGCGGGTGTTAATGCGGTCGCTGCCGCTGGCCGCAGGCCATGCCTGTTAAGGTCAAATAGCGAGCGCCTTAAGCGACTTGAACCCGCCTTGCCGTGGGTCGGTGGATCAGAAGACAGTCGCTCTAACCACCCGAGCTATTAGACGGGCGAAATATTGGTATGCTAACATGCTTGGATTCCACTGGGGTGGTGGACCGGCCGGGTAGTTAGATGTAGTCAGGTGTGCTTAAGCACCCCAACCCAATGCGGGAGCCCCAGGTCCAGCAATAGAGATAAAGTGTACTGAAACAAACAAAGCAAGCGTCCTTGATGGTTAAGTCCGATCCCCGCCGGGTGGTGAGTGGCTGATTCATTCGGTGACATTAAGAGCTAAGAAGTTGAACGCGTTGCTTTGCCGTTCGGCTTGAAACGCTGAAAAGATTGTGGTACTGCTTACAGGGCTGTTGTCTATTAATTGAGAGAATGTGGAAGCATGCTGAATGTGGTTTACATCGCAGATATTTGTCCAGTTGTTCTTGCTTAAAAGATCAATTGATGTCGAAGTGCATTCGAACTTTTACGGCTTACATCAGGCCAATAAGACCTTGATGGTTAGGTCCGGTTAGACACTGCTACGCAAGAAGAAGTCATTAAACAGGGGGAGGACAAATTTTCTGTGGGCCTCAGCAACCCTGACATAATATAAATTCGTCAAGTTACCCTATGAAATATAACAACTTACCCGGACACCTAAGCACGTTGAAAATTTGCTTATTGGGCTCCGTGTTCACCTCTGCAAGAAAACGTGCGCGATGAAATACGACAGTAATTTACGGCGGGCCAACAGAAGGAATGGGCTCTGGTGCTGAACTGTCCTCGACTCGTCTCTTTTGGGTAAAGCGCCATCTTAATTTTTCACAAAGTTGCATCAGCTCGCCTCGTCCTGCGCGTCAGTGTATGCCGCTGTGTGCAGTTCACGTTATTCTGTTTTTCTGTCGCACGTTATTCAGTATTCTGCTGGTGGGTCGCCGTACCGTTGAAGTAGCACAGTTCTGCTGGGCTGCTTTAAACATACATCATGTGGTCACACGTTTTCCGCAGATGCCTGCCAAAGCAGTCATCGTGTGGGACAGGTAAAAGTTAGCTGTGGTACGCAGGGCACGGTGCACGAGACTCTCGTCTGAACACAAGTCTTTCGGCTCCCGCTGCCTTATCTGGGTCTTCTATCTAGGATTCGTCAGTGAAAGTCACACCAATTATCAAAACATTCCAGATGCCGGAGCAGCTAGTTAGTGAAGTAAATGAAACTTCAAACAAAAACTGTTATGATTTTGAAAGTGGTATGCCGTTCATCGGCACGCAAGGTACAGATCTAGGGTCCCGTGCCTGGACCCACTATCGCACGTCTTCCGGTCCCGGTCCGCGGCATGAAACCGCCACGGTGCATTTATCCAGGCCGATAACAAATTAGGCATCGCTCCACACTTCACAAACTGCAGGATGGAGCCGGCTATGGACTGAGGCGCGGTGAGCTGAGCCCGTCGAGAGGCCCAGCGCCGCGGCCCGCCCATCACCAAACACAGCCGAGCACGCACGCCGTCAGAGCCGGAGCTCTCCACGTCTGTCACAAACGGGCCACTGTCGGGCCGGCGGACGGTGGATCGTCTGTCGGCGGCTGGCCAGCAGGCGGCGGGCAGAGGCTGGGCAGCAGGCGGCGGGCAGAGGCTGGGCAGCGGCCGGTAGCGGCCGGACAGCGGGCCGACCGCAGGCTGTTTCCCAGCCGCCCGCTCTAACGGAGCGCACCGGTGGCACAGTGCCTCCGATCGCTCATCTCGGGAGCCGGCTCCGGCTCCGGCTCCGGCTCCTGCTCCGGCTTCGGTGGACCGGCGCTCTCGGCAACCGAGGGCGCGGGCCGGCTGGAGCCGGGCAGGGGCCGGGACGGCAGGGCTGGCCAGGCGGAGAGCGTGTGGTCACAGGTCGTTATAGGCAGTTGGCCTGTGCTCCTCGGTATGGCTGACGGCTCTGCACGCCCACGCAGGTGAACTACGTGACAGCATGGCACATTTCCTGCTGCAGCGCTCACTTGTGCGACTTTGCAACTTATGATAACAGGTTGAGTGGCGCGTAGTGGTGCACTTGAAGCACGAGCACGTATCTGTGAATTACATGGGCGCTGCCGGGCTACAAACTCACATATCATTTTCTCATGTTGCAAGCGTCCAAAGCAGGTGACACGTGGCTGGCTGCTAGCCGTCGATGTTCCATTATCCCATGTTGTACGAATGCCTAATAACCCTTATCAGTAGTGCGTGCTGACGGGTGATCAACACCATTCTGACCGGACCAGACCGTCTCGAGTCCCGATTCACAGCGCGCGAGTGATATCGCGGCCGAGTCACACGTTCTCCACCCCACCCCACCCCACCGCACGGCTCCACTGCCGGCCGCGCCGCGTGTCTGCGAGCGTAACTCGGACATCAGAGGTGGCGAGCAGACCGGTACTTCCCGTTGGTATCATCCCAATCGTGCCACCACGCGGCTGGCCTGATTCGCAGCAGCATTCCTGTCCGGCCCGGCTTCCGGTGGGCACTTTATCACGTGACCAGTCAAGCCGCACGGCGGCGGACGCGCCGGCAGCTTCACGTGACCTGACGCTGGACCGGCCGGACCGGTCACGTGACGTTGCCGGGTCAGGCGCAGGGAAGGGTCCGTTATGGTGTCAGAGGGGCAGGGTTGATGCAGAATGCATGCTGTGCTTACAGACCCTGTTGCGTATGGATGCCTGACTGGCGGTTTGGCCTCTTCGAGGTCGTTGTGCTCTGGTGTCGACAGGTCGGATTCCAACGTCGTGCTCACTGGCTTGGCTTACGCTTGCGACTGCGGCAGTGGGGTAGTCGTGCCAAGTGGGAAAACCCTTTGTGTGACCGTGCATCAGACCGGAAGCTTGACATGGGACTGCTGCCCTCCATGACCTCAAAAGTGTTGGCACACCCGCGGCACGTTCCATTCCGCCGGAAATTCGACCTGCGACCCCTTGCTAACGATGCAATCCCAGAGAGAGAGAGAGAGGCAGTGGCAATGAAATAATGCAAGGAGCTATAATTGTTCTTTATTACCTCGTGACAGAGGATGCAAGGGGCTGGCTGAAGTGTCCTGTAGGCAGAGCATAGGACAATTATACCGCCCGCTGGTTAGACTGACAGACAAGGCATCTTCACTCTTGGGGTCAGAAGCACGTACGCGAGAGAGAGCTTTAAAATTTCACACGTAGAGGTTTTTTCTGGAGCGCCTCAGCTCGGCCAGGTCATGCTCCAAGCCTGCCGATGTAGACGCCGGTTATCATCAGCGGACAATAGAGGTCGTTTATGCGTCCGGTCCACAATAACGCCTGGTCTATGGCCGGGATCATTAACAATTGTCGCTCGCTTCCCGGTGGGATAATAGCAAGGTCTCGTTGTCTCTCTGAATGAGGCCAGTTAGCGGTACCGGTATAGAGCACTTCGCCTTTCGTATGGACGCGATTAACATGGTTTTAACGGTCTAGTGCACTTTCTGAGTGTTCACTGCCAGTTAAAAGGGCTTGAAACTGACGGGTTTCTTATTTCGACTGGAAGATACGCGCTATCGGTTCGCATGTTGCTCTAGAGGAATGTTTAGCATTGTTCTCGGTTGCGGTGGCCCTTGTCTCGCCATGCACAAGCGTAGAAGCAATCGTTGGTAGACAGATGGACGGGCACACATGGATCACGGGACACCATACATTGTGCACCATCACTTGTCTAGCCACGGGACCGGACCCAGACCAGAGACAGCCTCCGGTCAAAGTCTTGAGCGGCAGTCCCCAGTCAAATATTCCGAGCAGCAGTCTCCAGTCAAATTTTACAAGCAGCAGTCTCCAGTCAAATATCCCGAGCAGCAATCTCCAGTTAAATTTTACAAGCAGCAGTCTCCAGTCAAATATCCCGAGCAGCAATCTCCAGTAAATTTTACAAGCAGCAGTCTCCAGTCAAATATCCCGGGCAGTCTTTTCCATCCAAATGTCCGGGATGACAGCCTCCATTCAAACCTGCCGAGTGACAGCTGTATGAGCAGCTCGACAGCTGCGTGCCAGCGCCCGCGCGCCGCTCAGCGGCCAGCCGTCCTGTCTCGTACGTGCTCCACTTACGTTCTGCTCTGGTGTGCTTCCCAGGCCGGACGGGCCCGAGGCCTGGGAGCTCGGCGCCATGCGCAGGAAGTACTCCGCCGCCCCCAGCCAGAGCGGCTCGAGCCGCAACCTGCGTCCCACCTCGGACGAGCTGCACGCGTGGTCCATCTACCGGCAGAATCTGAACTCCGAGTTCACCGACTCAGCGCTGGGTAGCAGCGACAAGTCGCCGCTGCCGTACGGCAACTTTCAGCTGCGCGAGACAACCGTGCACTCGATCCTGCAGCACCCAAAGTACGGCCCCAAGTCGGAGCTGGGCACCAACATGTACACGTACCTCAAGTACGGCCTGCCGCGCGTCTTCCCGCCCACGCGGCCCGACGGCAGCTCGGGCTACGACTCGAGCGAGGATGGCGCGGCCGGCGCGCGGGACCGCTACCGCCGCGCCAAGTCTAACCCGGACCTGCGCGGCGCCGGCGCGCCGCCGGCCGCGCGCGCCTTCGGGGATTCGGTGTTCCGCGGCCGGCGCAACCGTTCGAGCAGCGAGGCGAACCTGCTGTCGGCCGAGGCGGTGTACGCGCGCGGCGTGCGCTCGCCGGACGTGCAATCGGAGCTGGCCGGCCAGAGCGTGTACGTGCAGCAGCTGGAGCGGCGGCGGCCGCCGAGCCAGCGCAGCCGCGCCGGCTCCCACGCCTCGCTCGGCTCGCGGCTGTCGCGCGGCCCCGGCGCGCTCGGCAATGCCGGCTTCTCGCGCCGCCACGACGGCGCCGGCTACGGCAAGGAGCCGCCCATGCTTAACGACAAGCTGTTCCCAAAGGACCAGGCGATGGACACGAAGCACCCGCACCTGCAGGTGCGCGACCTGCACTGCGAGCGGCGCGTGGACGGCGCCTGGCGCCGGCTGGTGGAGGGCGCCACGTTCGAGGCGCGCGGTGGTGACCTGGTGGGCGTAATGACGACGGCAGGTGAGACTGAACCAGCTGAGCACCGCCGCTCACCGTCCCAGGTCGAGGCTGGTGTTGGCCCGGTTAGCAGTGAGCTGTAGAATGTCGTGCGTGCGTGCGTGCGAGCGTGCGTGAGTGAGTGTGCGTTTGCGCGCGTGTGGGTGTATTTGTGTGCGTGTTTGTGTGCGTGTGCGTGTGTTTGTGCGTTTGCGCGTGCGTGTGCGCGTGTGTGTGGTATGTAGTAATATTATTTCTAGGGTGTAGTAATATTACAAAGGTGTAGTAATAGAGGATTACTTTGCTCCGACATCCTCATGCAGATGGATAACCGGATTCACCTTCGCACCGCTGTTTTCTTTTTTATTGTCAGCCTGATCGTCGATGCCCTTTATCCCGCCCTGTTCTTGACCGCGGTTTCCTCCCTCTATCTCTTCCCAGAGCGCGAAGGCACGGCGATCCTGGACGCGCTGGCCGACTGCGGCAGCCGCTGGAGTATGAGGGTCAGCGGTGACCTGGTTGTGAACGGATGTCAGGTGGAGCCTGCGCGGCTGGCTCGCCGCGTCGCCTATGTGCAGCAGGAGTGCAACTTCAGCCCCAACATGTCCGTCCGCCAGACCATGCTCTTCCATGCCTTCCTGCAGGAGCCCGGCCACGTGGCCAGGGGCTTCAACGTCAAACAGAAGGTGAGACGAGGCGCCGGTGGGAAGGCGGTGACGGGCGGAGGACGCCGGGTTCTGTGGGGCAGGAGGCGAAGACGTCTCGCAGCTTGCACTGCTGGCAGGTTATGACATATGTCAGACTGCCTGCAGCGTCGCGTTTAGCCCGACTTTTCTGTACAGACAGGTGCAATACGCTTTAAAGAAAACACTGCGCAACGCATGCTATGCACAGCGAATTCGCCAGCAAAGCCGCGCTGCTTTCACGTTATCACGTCGCACCGCAATCAGCAGCGGCTGTCCCGCAACACGCACCTCACCCGCCCCCGCCCCGCCGCAGATCAACGCGCTGATCGAGGACCTGGGCCTGGGCCAGGTGAAGCACACCAGCGTCAAGGACCTGACCGTGTCGGAGAAACGGCGCCTCAACGTGGCCTGCCACCTCTGTCTTGACACGGACATCGTGTTGCTCGACCAGCCGACGCGCGAGATGGACATCTTCGACACGTTTTTCCTGGTGGAGTACCTGCGCCAGTGGTCGGCGCGCGGCCGTATCGTGCTGCTGACGCTGCAGCCGCCCACCTACGAAATATTCACCATGCTGACCAAGGTGATGCTGATCTCGGGCCGGCGCGTCATCTACAGCGGCAAGCGACGCGAGATGCTGCCCTACTTCGCCTTCATCGACTATCCGTGCCCGGCTTACAAGAATCCATCCGACTACTATTGTGAGTAGAAAAGAGAAAGAGAGAGAGAGAGAGAGAGAGAGAGAGAGAGAGAGAGAGAGAGAGAGAGAGAGAGAGAGAGAGAGAGAGAGAGAGAGAGAGAGAGAGAAAGTTCTTGAGGTGCACACGGCCAGCTGCACAGTCAAGAAGTAGCCCAGGAGGTTGCCAAATCGGGTAATGTGGTCCCTTACCGCTAGATGGTCCTCTCTTCATCGCTTCGGGGCCCTGTTTTTCCATACTTTTTTGTATTCGAAATCTCATTTTGATGCCTTGGCACCCATTTTTGGTTGTGTATTTTGGACAGCCTTCAGGTGTTCTAAACTACCTAAAAGTATGGCGGCCTTCTGCCCCAGCGGCCTGGCCACCTCCAGGATGGATGGCCCCAAAAGCCCCAATCCCCTTGGTTACGCCACTACACAAGAATGCTAAAGCGGCATTCAATCTACGACATATATGATAGCATGTGCTGAATAGAAGGTGGGCTGGGACAGTTTGTCAAACTTGCCGATATTACAAGCATTAAGTATATGTGAATTTCGGCCAAAAAGAATGCATTCATAGATGAACATTACGTCAATGTCACACCATATCATGACACTTCCAGGCGTAAGCAGACTTCTTTTGTAGTTCGTAAATGAAGCATCGTTCTAACGGGAAACACTTGCGTGATGATAAACCTTGATCCTGTAAGCATCGACAATAGGCGACGCATTGTCGGTGTCTCGCACGTGTTTTGCTCGCCCCATAACTATGCCATGTCGGTTGCTTGTGTCACCAGTGGACCTGGTGACCCTGGACGACCTGTCGCCTGAGGCGACGCTCGAGTCTTCCCAGCGAGTGACGGAGCTGGCCAAGACGTTCCAGCGGCGCCAGGAGCCGCTGCCAGACCCTGGCCCGCCCGGCCTGCTCCCGCCAAAAATACGGCGCGCCAACTGCTGTGTGCAGATCCTCGCCCTCTGGATGTGAGAATGGCCTTCGGTCTGGGTGGACGGTTTGTTACAGCTGCTTGTCTCCAGGCGTGTTCGGATATCTGTCTGTTTCGGCTGGAAATGCCAGCTTTCCTTTACTTGTGCTATCGAAGGTGACAGTGCATTGTGCGCAAAATGACTCGACTTGAAATTGGGCGTCAACCTTGATAATTTGATGATGATTTGCTCCCAATCAGAATGCAGCTAGATATCCTAATAGTTACCAGATGTTCAAGTAATTCTAAGACATTCAGGTACTTCTAAAACATTCAAGTACATTTATGTGCAAGTGGCTCGTGGATATTCAAGCATCTCTAAGCTGGACTTAGGCCGCAGTTGACTTATGCCTACGTAAACTGTATACAACAGCCAAACACCGAGTTTCTCTTGCCCGGTGGCACACGACGAACGGAAGCTTAACGAAGCGCAACGAAGAATGCCGGACTACCCAATAGCCTTTGACCGCACACCTTTTTCAATGTTTCCGCCCAAGCCTTTCGAAGGGATGGATTTCTGGGATCAGCACTCATGCAGCAAGCACTGCTTAGCGTGAGCCCGGGCCCCCATCATCTGATCGTAAAATTGCAGACTAAAGGCAGAACGGCAGTGCTTGATGACAAAAGCCCCACACGCCGCAATTCTCGGCGCGGTGCGTCTTCTCTCTGACGTCACCTGGCCGACAACGCGGCCGTTGCCCCCGGCCGCAAGCCATCCCAGTCAAGGGCAGATAGCGAGTATCTAAAGCGACCCAAACCTACCCCGCCACGGTGGGCAGAAAGGAAAGGCAGGGGCTCCAATCAGCTGCACTATCGGGACAATTTTGCGAACCACTGTCGCCTCCTGGTGTTGATTTGTGACCCCCCATTTCAGCCGGGCGATGGTCTACACGTTCCCGTACAATCTGATCAGCTGGGCCACCTCCATGACTCTCGCCTGCCTCATGTCCGTCATCGTAGGCGCCACGTTCTACGATCTCCGCGGTGACAACAAAGACCAGGTCGGTGTATGCAAGGAACGTGCCACATGCGCATACTCGCCGCGCCGCTGTCGCCGTGTTCAACCATGCGACCTCCCATTGCTTGCGTGGATGGTAAAAAATGCCAAACCGAGCCTCAGCTTCCAGCGCTAATTCCGCATCAGGACTAATCGGCGCAGTAGAGTGGCACTGAAGTCCGACCCCGCTCCTCCTGACAGGAGAACATCCCAGACCGCCTGGGCTTCCACTACACGATGATGTCGCTGGCCCTGTGGCCGCTGCTGCTGCTCAGCATCAGCGAAGTGTGGCAGGAGAAGGACGCCGTCAGCAGGGACGTTGGCGACCGGCTCTACTCCCGGCTCTGTCTCATCGTCAGCAAGGTATCGGTGGCAGCCCAACAACCAACCGGCCAGCTATCTCTCGACGATGTCATCATCAACGGGGCATGGCAGAGGCCTGATGGTCATTATCAGCACGGCGTCAGCGCTAGCGCAGCCCGGGCAGGACAGGAGGAGGAGGAGCTGGTGTTCATGGAGTGCACGCGCGGCTCAGCCAGCCGCTTGTCACCACAGCACTGCTGGTGAACAGTCACGCGGTCGAGGCGATGTCTCGACGGACGCTAGGATGGACTGACCGGGCCGCTGAGCGTGGCCGGACCGGGGATTGAGCGTGACCTGTCTTGGCAAGATATGAGAAAGTTGGGATTAATGCGGTCGTATTATGGTCCAGGCATATCATGGTTCCCATAACGGGTGCCGTGACGAGCCGGCGGACGTCTGACCTCTCTCCTCTCCTGCAGCTGTTCTACAGCCTGCCTGGCTCGGCGCTCCAGTGCCTGCTGCTCATCGTGCCGGCTTACAAAATGGCCGGCACGCACCCAAACGACACAGACACCTCGTTCTATCTCTACATGGGTGAGTTTACATGCTATGCGACCAACTGCCTCCGGCCCGATTGAATTTGAGCAAAGATACTTTGGTGTGTGGGGGAGTGTATGGTATAATCTTCCTACGCATCAAACGACGGCGCCCATCAACATAGCTCAGAATAGCAAACTAGCTCAAAATAGCCACTCGTCAGCACACAGCACACATTGTACACGTCAGAGCACCTCCAGCAGCGCCAGTCACGGACTTGTCCAGGCGCAGGACGCGCGGTAGTAACGATGGTCGATATCTGCGCCGTCGGCTGCCCGGCGCCCCCGCTAACGGCCTCCCGGCGCCCCCGCTAACGGCCTCCCGGCGCCCCCGCTAACGGCCTCCCGGCGCCCCCGCTAACGGCCTCTCGGCGCTCCCGCTGACGGTCGTCCCATGCTCCCGCTGACGGCCTCCCGGCGCCTCCGCTGACGGCCTCTCGGCGCTCCCGCCGACGGTCGTCCCATGCTCCCGCTGACGGCCTCCCGGCGCCTCCGCTGACGGCCTCCCGGCGCTCCCGCTGACGGTCGTTCTATGCTCCCGCTGACGGACGTCTAATGCTCCCGCTGACGGCCTCCCGGCGCCTCCGCTGACGGCCTCCTGGCGCTCCCGCTGACGGTCGTTCCATGCTCCCGCTGACGGCCGTTCCATGCTCCCGCTGACGGCCTCCCGGCGCTCCCGCTGACGGTCGCTCCATGCTCTCGCTGACGGTCGATCCATGCTCCCGCTGACGACCTCCCGGCCGTCCCATGCGGCCTCTTGGCACACTGGCGGCCTCTTGGCACCCCCACTGACGGCCTCCCGGCGCTCTCGCTGACGGTCGTTCCATGCTCCCGCTGACGGCCTCCCGGCGCTCCCGCTGACGGCCTCCCGGCGCTCCCGCTGACGGCCGTCTCATGCTCCCGCTGACAGCCGTCCCGGTCCGTCGGCAGGCTACATGCTGGCGTACCTGCTGTGCACGCGGCTGCTGGCGGTGGCGGCCGGCTACGTCAGCTCGTCACGCCACCTGTCGGCCGGCTGGCTGACGGCGGCGCTGCTGCCGCTGCTGCTGGCCGCCGGCTGGGCGGCCCACCCTCAGGACCTCTCCATCTGGACGCACTGGCTGCGCTGGCTCTCGGCGCCCGCCTGGATCTACCAGCGGCTCGTCTGGGACGAGCTGGCGCCGGTGCGCAGTTTCCGCTGCGACCGCAACCCGATCGTGCCGCAGGACAACACCATCATCGTGCAGGTGGACTGCGGCGTGCTGACCGGGCGTCAGGCGCTCGGCTTCCTGGACGTGCGGCGCGCCGGTGAGCCGCTGGCGCCGCTGATCGCCGCCGCCGCCACCGCGCTGCTCGGCCTGCTGGCCGCCACCGGCGCCGCGCTCCTCTGCCGGCAGCGGCAGAAGAAGTCGCGCGGACGCGTCAGCAAGCACTCGTAGGCCAGCCGGGGGGCCGTGTGGCCGCCGGGACACTGCGGCGCCCGCAGGGCTTCGGCATCGCACGTTGTGCCGTCGTGCTAGCGGGCGGACCACGTCAAGCCAAATGACCGCGCGGCTGGTGGAGCGAGAGCGGCGCGGTTTGCGAGGCGGACGCCAGGGGCTCGCCACGAACTCAGTTACCAGGGAGGTCGCAGCGGTGTCCAGCCACCGGAACGTGACTCAGCTGGGGGAGGCGGCTGGCAACGGCTGGGGCTCTCCAAAGGAGACGGCGACGGGCCACGTTAAGCGGAGCCCGGCCATGTACTGTGCGTCGAACTGCTGGGAACCGAGGACGCCACGAGCGCAGCCACGAGCCGCGCCGTTCAGAGCCACAACGTGCGTACGTCAGATGTGTATTTTTGTACATTACGTTGTTTTACGTAGTTGCTCTGATATTGTGACTAACGAAGACGGTGAACACCGCGCGGCAATGTCGCTGTTATGCGAGCGGACGACAGCGTAGCCAAATGTTCGGAATAACAGACGCTCCGTCGCGGCTGTTTAAGACGACCGGCGGCACTCGTCACTGCCGGGTAATGCTCAGGCTCGGGCACAGCGCAGCGCGTGGCGTAGATCGCGCCGTGAAATAAACTCCCATAGAAATAAATGACGACCGCGGACATCTCAGATCACAGGTGTGACAGAACACAGCCGTTTATGTTCCCTGTGAACCGAGACGCCAAACGGTGCAAATCACAGCTCGTGCATTTGGAGCATTTTTAAACGTAAAACTTGTGACAAATTAAGAACGGAACAAACCCAATAAGGCACAAAGCTCAGGCGCTGGACATGCGCGGTGCGAGCTATCGCCACAAGCTCTAGCCTATTCCATCCAAGCGCAGTTTGTAATAAGCGACAGGCACCAAATCGTAATAAATACGCGAGAACCAGGACACCGCGCCTGGCACCGTATCCCAGCGCGCAGCAAAATAAGCGGCTGACAAAACTAGGACGAATTTATTGATGCACTGACAACTTACATCTAACAACTTTAACACAGATACGAGCTGCCACTCAGTCGCGCTCGAAAACTCGTGCTCCACCGGCGAATGCGGTGCCGCGCGGCCGCCGCCGCCGGCACGGACACTCGCGCCCCGCGGCCGCCGCGGCGGCGGCGGCGGCGGTCAGTGCGGCGCGGGCCTAGGGCTACTGGCCGGCTCGCGGCCCGCGGCCCGCAGATACAGCAAGCGGCGCGGCGCCGGTCCCGGCGGCCACGATACGCGGCGCGGATCACAGTCGCGGCACGGGGCGGAATCACGTCGGTCGGTGCGGCAGCGGGCGGCTACGCTCGCCGCCGGCGCGCCGTGAGCCACAGGCGAGACACGGCCGCGGCCGCAGGATCACCGCTCGTCCCAGGCGGCCCCGCGCCGCAGCACCTGGTGCCGGCAACGCGCCCCAACAGGCATCGGGGACGGCTATCGTCTGTCTTCACGGGCCTCAACGCCGTGCCAAAGGCTTGATGTTCCGTGATATCTTCTCCTCTTCGGCCAGCTGCGAGCGGTACAGCGCCACTTTCTGCTTGAACTTGTTCAGCACGTCCACCTTCTCTTCCAGCAGGTCCTCTAGCTGCTGCACGTATGCTGAGAAGGAACGACATGTGTCAGAACGCATAGTAACGCGTCACAGCAGGCGCCCGTGACATATCGTGACACAACACGGCCGGGGCCTGTCGACGCTAACAAAATCAGAATTACGCGAACACAACACAGAACGGGGCGATGTTCTTCATAGTTTAAAGCAGAGCGCGACCCGCCACCGACTCTGGCATGAAGCAGCCGCAGACGCACACACGCTCAGAACTCGAAATCCGACTTGTCGGTGTCTACCCATCAATTCTTTGGGAGATCGTCCGGTGGATGGTACTGTCAATGTGAGTGATCGGCATGTCCGTCAAAGACAGCTCCGAACAATGGACGACGCCTCATCAAGACGTAAGCGCCGGGTGCTCTGGGGTCAGCAGGGCGGTGCGTGTGGCGTAATCTGACGGAGGCGCCATTCTCGGGTCATCTCACCGTCCACGTCAATCAAGGGCAGTCTGCGTCTACCCCGCTCCTGTCTCTTTAACAGCTCACAAGTTCAGACGCCCATACAGTCAGCAGATCGCTCCACTCACCGTCCACGTCGTAGTCTACCTCGTTGGTCATCTTGAGCAGCGACATGTCCATCTGCTGCCAGCGCGGCGAGAGCTCGATGGTGGCCTTGTGCATATCGAGCACCTCTTCCTCCATGTCCTGCAGGTGCGACACCGCCTCGTGGAAGTTGTAGAGGTCAGCCGACAGCTCGCCCTCCTGTCAGGAAGAGCGGCGCGTGCGTCAGCTGATAGTACACGCTCGGGACACAGACACCGGGACACGGACGACGACCCGGCCGCGGCTGCGCGGCCCGACCAGGGCCGGCACTGGTGCTGGTGCCAGTGCAGAGTTGGCAAGCCCCAGCTGCGTGATGCGTTGACGTGAGTCGTCGCGGCCCATGCAGGATAACTGGGCTGGCTTAGACAGGCGCTCTGCTAACAGTCATGTGGATGCCGACTGGGACTATTTTACACATGGGGACGGTGGAAGCAAAGGCTGTGGCATGGAACGGCCGACAGTTCCGCAGCTTTTTTGCCAGCGCTCACTGCACTGCTCATTTGATTTGTGTGCGGTTCAAGGCTCCAGGATAAGCACATCACAACAGCTTTTCAGTGCGTCTCATCCTTCTCAGCACGCGGCCGCTGCTGGTGCGCCCGAGCGTGTGGGCCGGGCCGCTGGAGGGGGCGGTGCCGCCGGTGACGAGGGGGCGGTGCCGCCGCTCCCGCCACCCGGGTAGGGGGAGGAGGACGGGACGGCGCTCACAAAGAGGGACGGGTCGGCCTTCTCGCGCGAGTGCAGCCTCTCCACCAGACCCGAGGTCGAGATCTGCGCCGGGCGACACGACATAGGGTCACTGGCACGGACGCGGCGGCCAGTCGCCACGGCCGATGACGCTCCCGTACGCGCCGCAACCAACCGTCAACACATGGAGCATGACCTCACCCCATCGTGTAACAAGGAACCGCACGGAAACTCGCCAGTGGCGTGCCTCACGAAGTCAGCGATGTCGTCATAATCTGCCCAACTCCGAGCATGACTGGTCTGAATAAACAGCTTAACGGCGGGCACGTTATAACGCGATGGCAACTATATACCGAATATTTAGCTTCTAACGTTTGAAACACTACAAGTTGCACCATTAAATTGCATGCAGCACAATGCCAAAATCATTCACTCATTACAAGACATTCACTAATCCGTCAAAATGGACACAGCTTGACTCAAAACCACACCCAAAGCAAATCACGCACGCACACATGCACACAGGTACACGCACAGGCGCACACACACAACACCTGTGCCAGTGGCCCCGCACCCGCCAGCCCGGCCCGTCCGGCGATGAGCCGCCGCGCCACCTACGTTGAGCGAGCGCAGCTGGGCGAGGTCGTCGTCGGGCGACTCGACGCCGCGCATGGGCTCCGGCTCCGGCCGGCGGCCGTTGCCGTTAGCGTTGTCGGCCTTCATCTCCAGCGGGTCCTGGGCGCCCAGCTCCTTGACGCGGTCGGCGTAGCGCAGCGGTGAGACTGTGCTCGCAACGAGTTCAGGCGGGGCTGATCATGCGATCTGGCGGGGGCCCGGTCGTCAGCGGTGGCGACGGCCGGCACAGCGCGGCACGGTGGCACACAAGGCCGTCAGCAGCGGGGCAGGCCCGGCCTTCAGCGCCGGTGACGGCCGGCACAGCGCCGCACGGTGGCACACAAGGCCGTCAGCGGCGGGGCAGGCCTGGCCGTCAGCGGTGGCGACGGCCGGCACAGCGCGGCACGGTGGCACACAAGGTCGTCAGCGGCGGTGACGGCCGACACAGCGCCGCACGGTGGCACACAAGGCCGTCAGCGGCGGGGCGGGCCCGGCCGCCAGCGGCGAGGCAGGCCCGGCCGCCAGCGGCGGTGACGGACGGCACAGCGCAGCACGGTGGCACACATGGCATCCAAGTCGCAACGCGGCGGCGCGCTGGGCACAGCCAAGTGTTGGAGGTGCAGTCAACGACCGGTGAGTGCAGTATGGGCCCGAGACCATTTCAATTCACTCGCCTTATGGGCGCTGCATGACCTACAGCAGTCGATGTGCCCCAAAACCCCAAATCATCATCAATCCACCCGCCTTATACCCACCCACCAGCCAGTGTGCAGCCCATCTCATTACGGACTACCATACTTAGCGTGACTCAGCACACACACACAGGCACGGGCTCCATCACTCACCCCACCCACTTACCATGCACGTCTTGGACTTCTCGCCGATGAACGAGTCGCGCAGCACCTGGGTCAGCTTGGAGGCGCGGAACGGCAGGTGGGCGCCCTTCCGGCCCAGCGCACGGATGCACTCCTTGAGCGCCAGCAGCGACTTGTTGATCTCGGCACCCTCCATGCGCGTCATGCGGTCGGACGAGGACGTGTCGGCGCCGCGCTCGTTGCCGGCCAGGTCGATGAGCGAGAACTTGCCGTAGAGCCGGCACCGGTCCGGCGGCACCCCTGACTGCCGCGTGCGTAGGATGATCTGGAAGACGGCGTGCGAGCGCGACGAGTGGTTGTTGGCCGAGGTGGTGCCGCTGGTGCGGATGGTGTTGCCGTGCTGGATCAGCTTCAGCACGTCCTCCATGCTCTCCACCGGCCGCTCCGTCAGGCCCACCACCTGCACCTGCTGCTTGCCGTCCTCCAACACGCGCAGCTTGGCCTTGTCGTTCAGCAGGTCGAACACCTGCCGATGGCGGCGGCGGCCGGGGTCAGCTGGGTGCGGCGCGTCAGCAGCGACGTGACTTAGGGAACGGACTGGGGTTGGATGAGCCGAGGCCGGTGTAACAGGCGGACAAAGCACAGGCACTGAGTGGCTGTGCTTCACCACACCGCCCAAACTGAGCACTGTCACCACACCGCTCAAACTGTCATCACGCCGCCCAAACTGTCATCACGCCGCCCAAACTGTCACCACACCGCCCAAACTGTCACCACACCGCCAAAACTGAGCACTGTCATCACGCCGCCCAAACTGTCACCACACTGCCCAAACTGCCACCACACCGCCCAAACTGAGCACTGTCACCACACCGCCCAAACTGCCATCACACCGCCCAAAATGTCACCACACTGCCAAAAATGTCACCACACCCTCCAAACTGTCATCATCCTGCCCAAACTGTCACCACACTGCCCAAAATGTCATCACACCGTCCAAACTGTCATCACACCACCCAAACTGTTATCGCACCACCAAAACTGTCACCACACCGCCCAAACTGAGCACTGTCACCACACCACCCAAACTGTCACCACACCGCCCAAACTGTCACCACACCGCCCAAACTTTCGCCACACCGCCCACACTGTCATTACACCGCCTAAACTGTCAGCAGTGCTGAAAGAGTTGTGCAGAAGCCCTCACCTTGCCACTGTAGATCTCAAAGTAGCTGGCTGACACTGCCAGCCCCTTGTTCTTGTTGCTGGGCGACTTGAGCAGCCTAAACACGTCTTTGGCGGCCATAGCGTAGATGCCCTTGTTGGCGTCCTGTGACTTGCCGTTGAACGTGCCGCCCATGGTGTGTGTCTTGCCGGAGCCGGTCT